CTGCGATCTGCCCAACTTCTATGAAGATGAAGGGTTGAGAAGTGCCTGAACAGACAGGCAATAAATATTGGAATGCAGGGCTTGGGACACTCACATTCCATACTGGAGTGCCTGGGTTTGAGTCCTGGCTCAGCTTCCTACTAATGCATACCCTGGGAGGCAACAGGTGATTAGTACCTGGGTTCCTGCCATCCACATGAAAGATTGGGATTGAGCTGCAGGCTCTGGTTACAGCTGGGCCCAGCCCTGGTTGTTGCAGGTAGTTGAAGAGTCAAAGCAGTGAATGGAAAATCTTTCTCTGACTTTCAAATAAAGAAAAATAAATTCATTTAAATAAATACTGGAATAAATGAGTGTTTGCTCCAGGTCCTCCAAACAGCCAGGCAGCAGTCTTCACTCATTTGCTAAGTTTACCAGTTTGATTATTGGTCAGAACACCAGGCCTAAACTCAGGCCGCGCATGCTCTCTGTAGATTCCTATTCTAGCCCTGGATGATGGGAACTACAGCGGCAGATTTTCTATTCATTTCTATAGAAGCAGTATTCCCAGTGCCGAGGGCCTGACCTCATAAATGAATTTACAATGAACACCAGCAACTCATTTTCCTGAATCACAACTGAAATGAAAATTGCTCAAGCTTTAGCCCCCTCACACCATCTGACTCAGGAGCAAGTCACTGATGCCAGATGACTTCAAAGGCCTGCTCTCTGATGAGCCCCCGTTTTGATCCAATTCTTCTGCTTCTTCCGTATGAACATACACAGTAATTCTTCCATGGCTGAACTCATAGCCCAAGAGCCACTGAGGTTCTAATTCAGGCACTTTAATAACTGTATAGCATATCTGTAGTCCTAAGGGGAGGGGTTATGAGCAAGCAATCTATTCCAGTGACAATCTTGAGAGACTCGGATTTATTAGAAAATCATTTTCTCCTTCTCTAAAGGCCAGTAAGTAAATTATAATATAAAATGCTTGTTGAATAATAGGCGGCCATGCTTGCTGACTTAAACACCCAGGGATGTGTTTATTCATTTCATATAATTTGATAGCAACCCTTTTATTCAAATTAAGCTTTACTTTCCCCTAATGATGTTTCACAGCAAAATGCCAAACTAAAATGGGAAGATATGGAAAATTCTGACAATATGCTACATCTTACTTTGACAGCCCCATGATATCTTCATGGAGGAAGAGAATGTAGAAAGTGCTGTGAGTGTATGGGCACATAGGACTTTTCAGTTATTCAGCAAACATTTATTGAAGTTCTAACTGCATGTCAGCCTATATTGGGCTCTGGTATAAAAGATCTGGCTTTCAAGGAGCTTGCAATCTAATGGAAGACTCCAATAAGTAAACAGACAATTCCAATACAAAGCAAACAAAGACACGACAGAGAAAAGGTAGTGCTACAAGAGGATAGGGCAAGCTCTGAGAAGATGCAGGATTTTATATGGAGAGGTTCAAACATGATTAAGATGAGCGCTTTAGAAAGATAATGCAGAGGGGAAGGAATGGTGGCAGAGAGAGCATTTGGGAAACTTCCCAAAGGTGATGGAGCCCACATAAGACCAAGGCAAGTTCACTGAGCACTTTCATAGTGCAGTGAGATAGGTACTTCATAAGCACTACCTCACTAAATCCTCAAAACCCTGAGGGAGGAATTAAAACTCATTTTACAGGTAACTGCTGACCCCTTCTTGTTTTCTTATTATCTATTGTTCCCCTTTCCCCCAACAATAAAATATATCTACTTATTGCTCTGTCTGGTGTTCAAAGTAGTGACTGGTACTTGCTCAATGTTCATGGCATACATAGGTGGTTGGGCAAACTGGTACAGGAATTTTCCCAATATCACACGAAGGAATCCACACTCACTGCCTTCACTATACTTACCACACTAAATTGCTATTTTTAGTTTTTGCTGGTTCCTTATCTTACTAACTTCCAGACTGCCCTGGACTCATCCTTAGGGCCTCCTGTCCTTCCTACCTAAACTCACCTCATTACTAACTACATCCAGTCCTGTGGGTTTAAGTCCCACCAATTCATTGATAACACTCTGGTTTCTATCTGCAGCATGGACTTCTCCCATAAATTCCATACCTTTGTATCCAACCACCTCCTCAACATTTCCACTTGGATTTCTCACAGGCATCTCAAATTACTGCCTCTGAAAACCTGCTCCTTTCATGCTGTCCTCCTCTAAGTTGCTAACAATAATGCTTCCAGCTGCTCAGGCCAAGACCTGGGCATCAATCTTGTCTCTCCCACACCTTTATCCCATCCATCAGCAAATCCTATTAACTCTTCAGAACATATCCAGAATCCAACTTGTCACAACCTCTGGCCAGCTTCATTCTGCCCAGATTATTGCATGAGCTTCTCCTGGATCCCCGTTTCAACTGATTCCCACTGTTGCTCAGACTCCAACGTGGGCTCCCCCATCTCAGCATCAAAGCCAAAATCCTCCCAGTGGTCTAGCAGGCAGTCGTCAGTGTGGCCCTTATTCCTCTCGGCCTCCCTCGCCTCTCACCCTCCCCTACCTTGCTAAGGTTGATTTGTTTCTGAGAGGATTCGTTCTGAGAGGAGGAGCGTGGTGGGGGCAAGAGGCACAGAGTCACCACACAGACCCCGGGAGTCGGGTGAAAGCAGACCCAAGGCGAGCAGCCTGCAGACTCATTTATTTCAGTTGCTACAACTGCTTATATAGCCAAGGCAGCCAATCCAGTCAAGGGGTGGTCTATGCCCTAACCAATCACAATCTGTTGCCAGGCAGTTTCCAAAGCCATCCAATCACAGCCTGTTGCCAGTCAGGCTCTGTTGCCAGGTAGTTTCTGAAACCATCCAATCATGGCCTGTTGTCAGTCAGGCTTTGTTGTCATGTGGTTTCCGAAGCCATCCAATCACGGCCTGTTGCCAGGCAGTTTCTGTTGTCAGCGGCCATCTTGGCATGACCTTTTCACCTCAGCGGCCATCTTGGCATGAATTTTCACCTACTCATTCCACCACATTTCCCCCTTTGCGTTTATTTTTGAGCAACCAGAGGCATGATTCTTTGCCATACCATTGTTGACCCTGTTTCCATGTGGTCTCCGTACGCAGCTGTGCCTGTTTTAGGTTGTCCCCCAGGGGATCTTACCCGTCATTGACTAACCAGCACTCAAAACGAGAGACCACAGGATTGCTTGCTCAGATAGGGGTAGGAATGAGGAATAATGGTAATCAGGAATGGCATGACCACACACAGGCTGTGGGCCGTTTGAGTGGCTGACCAGAGCTAGTGGGGTATAAAGTAGTAATGGATGTGGCTATGGGCAGTTTCTTGGGGTAGGATGATAGGGCAGGTGCATCTGCTAACAAGGCGGAGTCTCAGTCTTTCTTCAGCTGGTTCTGGTTGGCTGTCAGTTGCAGGTTTGATGTTTCTGGCTGGTACCCAAATGGGCTGTTCCACATTCTCTGGAAAGACACAAGCATATCCTCTACCCTTGGTTAGCAGAAGCCTTTTTACAGGCATTGGAATCTAGGGCCTGAATTTTGCATACACGTCAACATTAATGGCAAACATGCAGGTGGGATGGACTCTAGCGGCTGCCCTGAGAGCCTGGGGTGCCTGGGGACTGCCACAAATGTGGGGATCCTCACTGGGTGCGGATGGAATGACCTCGCATGACTTATTGTCTCAAGGTTCTCTAAGTTTATCCCATGGGTATGTGGGCGGTGGCTGACTAGGCACTGCTACATTGTTTGCTACCTTGTTTGCTACTTGTTTGCTGCATTGTTTGTTGCACTGTTTGCTATTTTTTTTTTTCACTGTCCGAGTTCTCTCCCCCTAAGTTATCAATTGCCTGCGAGACAGGGACCTGGAGTATCAGGCTCTTCTCACTCACAGATTCACTATGTTCGGTAATCTACATGGGATTCCGAGAGGTGAGTATCTTTCCCATGTTTGAGCACTTAACAGCAGTGCGCCACACCAACTCTAGCCAAGGAGACACCCACAGCACTGCTGCCATAACAAAGCAAATTCCTAGCATCTCAGCGGCTGATGGCATTCTGCAGGGGGTTCCCTACGTTAGACGAATAGACAGTGGCGTGTCAGGTCATACGTATGTCCTGTGCTTAGTGGGGGACTTCCTTGATTCGTGAGGTCAAGGCCGTATGCCCACACGGTGTCTCCGGAGCGTCACCTCTCTCAGTGAGGGAAGATGACTTGGTTCTGAATTCTGGGATGATCAGTCCCTTACATGAATTCGCCAGGCAAACCGAAAGTAAAAGGAGGAGCCGAGAAGCGGTGTACGCCTCTGGGTGGTGTGTGCTAACATGGGGTCACTTAGACTGAGGACAAGGACAAGGAAAGGGGCATAGGAGGGGGTTCTGTGCTCACCCTCACAGAACCAAACAGCACACAAAACACCAAGGGGCCTTCTTGCCGAAATCAAGGGGGGACCTTGCCGAGTCCGACATGCTGTCTCTCTCTCTCTGTCACACTGGCGCATCAGACAACAGAAACTGCCTGGCAACAGGCCGTGATTGGATGGCTTCGGAAACCACATGCCAACACTACCTCTCTTCTCCAGCCACACTAGCCTCCTTGCTGGTTACGGAACTCACTAGCCCCTTCCACTCTACAGTCAGACTCCAGAGCCCACACCACCCACAGCTGTGACCCTTGCCCTCTATTTACACTGCCTGCTTCACTACAGTTCTTTCTGCCCCAGCTGCAGCAGGACAGGGACTTGGCTCATTCCTGTATCCCGAGGACCTACGGGAATGCCAGGAACAGGAGCGACCTCAGTAAATATTTACTGAATGAATAAATGCATTCTCATTTTCACAGATCTTCCCCAAGCCTGCCACACCAGGCAGCCACCACAATGAGGCAACACTCAGATAATTCTGAGAGAATTTACAGGTAACTGATAAAGCAGACAGAAAAGCTGATAGATATTTAGCCTTCTAATCAACAGTTAAGCGACAAGCAGAGTCTAAAACAAAAATGTTGTTTTTCAAAAATTTTAGAAATTTTATTTGTATAAAAATTTGGTAAATTCATATCTTAAAATATATGTGAAGGCAAAAACAAATCAGGTAAGTTTTACATGAAATACAAAACCAACAGTTTCCAAAACATACAAGACACATAAATGTAAAAAAAATCCAATGTAATTTCTCTTAAGAAAAAATAAAGTAAGGAAAATGCCACAAAACAAAATCCACTTCTTGGCAGATCCCATGAGCTGCCATGAAACTTGCAACTACATCATATTAAGTATTTCTTCTTTCCTTGTGTTATCTTGTTTTTCATCCCATTTTTCTTTCGAACTTCTTTTTAAGACAAGGGCCAATCAAGACTTTTTAAAAGCTCATGTATTGTTATACTTTAACCAGTACTTAGCTTTTAATTCCAAAAGTCAATATTTAATATTCAGAACTACAGATACGCACCTAAACAATGTAAACAAATTAAAGTATAATTGGAATATGCTAGGCAAAACATAACTATTTACAGAAATATTCTATAAAATTAAGATTTTCACTGATCACATTTGCTTAAATCACATTTGCTTAAATCACATTAAGGCCTATAACCTAGTTTCTTAAGTTAGCACTTAAAAATTAAACAAAAAAATTAACAATGTAAAACATTTTATTCACTATATTTATGGTTCCCTCAATGCTACACAGGAAATCTACATAGGAATATCTAGTCAAATACATCAGGTAAAAAATATATATATATATATATATAGCCTGGTGGTCCATTCCCCAATTACTAGTAAGTACCACCAACAAAAACAGGTTCACTGCTATGAACTATTAGTGCTAATATGTATTTTATTTATGAGTTCTTATTGTAAATAGAATAACAAAAATCTCGCATTTTGGTTATTTATGGAAACCACATCTATTATTATTTTATCTCCATTGCCCTTAATAATACATTGCAGGTGAAATGTCTAGATTCAAATTTCTATTAAAGTTCCTCATCAGGAAGTAAAAACAGCTGGTTACTGACTCTCGTAAGTTTTTTTCCTGTCAAAAGGTATCTTTCCTGATTAACCCTGGAGGGAATGGGGAAGAGAAAGGGAAGCCAGAAGGGAGAAAAGTCAAGGAAGGGGAAGAGAAGGGGGACAAGCTGGTTGGAAGTTAAGGGTAACATCCTCCAGGGTCGCAGTGACCCTCTGCAGCTGCACAGAAACCCGAGAATTCTCTGGAAATTCACTAAGAGAAAGAACGGCGATGACAACGCCGTCCATCTAAAGTAAATAGAATTAGAAGAAAGTTATCTTTTACTATTTCACATTTTTATAAAAATATTATTAAAACTTATGGTTAAAATTGGCTCTCCCTATTCCCCCCATAAAATTTTTATTTACTAACATTTAACTATCATGCAACTGCTTTAAAAAAAAAGGATTAGAAAAGGTCAAGTCAATCAGGTAAGAAATCTGGTATGTAAAGCAACAGAGAGAACAGGATGGGGCCCAGAGAGGGCACAGGACTGACATCAGCCAGTGAGAAAAAGGTAGACCAATGGAACTGACTCTCTCCAACACTTAACTTTTGCTTCACATAAAGAATTGTTTAAATCTAAGACTCATTTATTGAGTTAATTAGAGGAAATGTAGCAAATTGTGCACACAGACACAATATTCTTAAAGCAAATTGAAAGAGTGCAAACAAGCTCCAAAATTGTTTTTGGGAGAAGTAGACCTCACATGAGAGAGGTACGTGTGTTCAGAAAGCAGGCCACGGCATCCCTGAGGCACAGCCTGTATAATAACAGTATTAGACTATAGATTGCTTTCAAATTATTCTCATTAATTATGTCAACCAATTTGAGTGCATCAAGAGAGAATTTTACCAACAGTATATAATAAGGTATGTATTTACATTTTTATTTGCATCTCCAGGACAAACTTAATGATAATGATTATGAAAAACAAAATTAAAGGTGTCCATTTGGAAAAAAGTACATCAATATTATTCATAAAGCCACAAACACTTTTGTAATAAATGAACACTGCAAAACAATTCACAGCTTTGTAAAAAGTTGATATATGGAGTTTCATTCCAATTTTTTTCTAATTCAAAATTAGAGTTCAACTTACTTTAATACTTCGTTATTTTACTCTAAAACCTGTAAAATATATAAAATACCAAGATTGTCAACAGTCACATATGTTTTGAAGTCAGGAGACACATGGATTTTCTTAAGACTGGTTCCATTTGTGTAGAAGGTCTGTAAGGATTCCCCAGTGACAACATTCCACCACTGTGCAAAGAAAAATAAAATTCTCGTTAGACTGATAATTGCACTACAGGACAATTTTTAGCACAAGCCAGATCCTTCGTCCTGTCACTTTCCCTCTCCCAAACTGAAGCAAACAGCAGGAAAGAATTTTAAAGTTTAATGCCAAATGTATTATCAATCTGATCAGCATTTCCCAATCAACCATGCAGATGGCCTCATAGCAATGTCAACACTTAACTCCACTGCAAAGCTTACTGGGGAAATGTGCAGCCTGCTTAAGAGCTGTGGACACGAGGTTACCTGGCATCCATTATGGCAGTGGTTCTAAACTGAAATCCCCCATCTGCATGTCTTCCTCCATGGACAAGTACACTGGCTTCCTTTCCCTTCCAATCATGGAATTCACAAAGTTCTAACAATATTTGTATTCATTTACCAAATGGATATAGAATTTGGTAATGAAGAATTTGGTAAATGAAGATTCTATATCCATTTGGTAAATATCCCAGCTACAATGAGGACAGCAAACAATGCACATGAACACATTCTGAAAAGGCCTTAGGTGCATCAAGATTCCAAGTATTCTCAATTCAGTAACAGTGTCATTCACTTTTGAGTAAAATAACAACATAATCAAGTCTCTTTTGTAGATTACGTTATTTTACAAAAGAGATTTGTCATTTCAGGGAAGTTCCAGGTTAGTGCTGGTTTACCAAAATCAACAGGCTATATTTGTGCCACTTACTGTAAAAACTGTGAACATGAATAGTCAACCCAGTTGTAATCAAGACTGCAGAGGACACACCCCACCCACCTGAGAGAGATCTCTTCAGTTTTCAGTCACTAAGCCTCCTGAGATCACCCAGTGCTACCTCCTCATTTTACAAATAAGGAAACTGGAACACTGAAAGAAGGAAGATGACGTAGCAGGCAGGTGGCAAAGGTAGGACACTTCGTGACTTCCTAATCCGGTGCTCCTCCTTTTCCCTCTATTGAAACATACCACCCCACCTGGAAATTCTACACCAGTCACTGGGCTGAATATGGAGTAAAAGCCAGTGATACTGTTATAGAAGCTCATACAGAAGATGTTCAGGGACTTGAACCTACTCTTTATGACACTTTAATGGTAAGTACATGTCATGACAAATTTGTCCCAATCTATAAAATGTCCAACACCAAGAATGAACGCTAATGTAAATGGTGGACTTTGGGTGGCTATGATGTGTCAGTGTAGGTCCATCAATTATAACCAATGTACATCTTTCATGAGGGATGATGATAGCGGGGAAAATCATACGTGTAGGGGCAAGAGGAACATGAGAAATCTCTATAATAAGGTAGATAGTATTATCATTATACCCATTTTGCAGATGACAAAATTATGGCATAGGGAGGTTAAGCAATCTTGTGCAAGGTTGCAAAGCTACTGAGTCAGACTCAGGCTTTGAACTCCATCAGTCTGTCCCAAGGCCCACTCTCCTGACTGTTACACTCCACTGCCCCTGAGTAATGACACAGCTCTATCCATCATCGTGTAGTCTGTACTTCAAACCATCCTCTTCTTTCCCAAGTATGAAATAATGTGACTTTGTTATCATCCTAACAGTATGTACCCTGTAACATAATGTTAAGGAAGCAGCTTTAGCTAATGCTTTAGCTGCATTATTTTTTAACTTCTAACAAATAATTTTGAAAGTTAAGAACTTTTTGGCTACTGGATTCCTATTTTATCTCACTGGCACTCTATTTAAACAGCTTAGATTCTAAAAGGACTCTTTCCTTAGCCACTACAGCAGCTGTTCCTCCTCACTTTTAATTTGCTCTGTGGTTTTAGATAGTCTCATTAACAGGCTGGGTCAATGCAGGCTGGGCTATAACATAATTAGTTTAACCAGGCAAGTAATCAAACCAGAAGGTGAAAGCAGGCCTGATCTTCACTTACATATACAGACTAAATATAGAGGCTATCAGTTCTTTCACCCTTAAGATGCAGGCACTAAGGCACAAAAATCTATTCTGCTGCTTCATTTCAAGGTTCTCCAAGAACACTGAAACTCTGGTCACTGAACTTTGTAACAACTAATGAGCTAGACACAATTATGTGATAGCGTTCTATGGGGCCCAGTGACTCGAGGGCATGGTTTCTAGAAGTATGCTGCAAAACTGAGCAAATTTTTGAGCAGACAATATAGTTGAAGAGCTCAGCCTCCAACACAAAGACAGCACTGTCTCTCTAAGCACCATCCCTCTTTACCAAAAGAGGACAAGCAGTGATCATGTCTCAAGATCCCCTCACAGCTGAATAAAGCATAAAAAAGGTGTAGGTTAAAGTAACACTTTATAAACAGGATTGTACTTTCAATGCTACTTTGTAAAGGGATCACAACATACATCCTGTCATTAAGTTAAAATCTGTCCTCTATCTTTTTTATAAGCTAATTTTTATGCTGAGTAAAACTGCAACTCTGAGTCCTCAATATAACTAAAATTTTAAATATTTCTGAACACATATACTGTGTGAGTCAATTAATTAGAATCATCTATTTATTCTCACTATTTTCATTAAGAACAGTATCATGAGATCTTATTTGGGATCTATTTTAGTTAAAAAGCTTTCTACCCCTTTGACAAGCAAATCACTATTCAAAACACTCCTCTCAAGTAGCCCCTTCTGTAGGAAGTTCTGCTAACTGTCCAAATAGGGCTTTTACTCTCCTTTGTGCCTTCGCCACCCCCTCAGTGTCCTACACTTTAGGGGCTTCACTTCTTTATCCTCTGTTTCCACGCAGACTGCAAGATGCTGAAGGGCAGGACCAAGACTTGCACATTATGCCACATGGCAGGCTCTTGGCACAGTGGGTACTTGGCAGTCCTACTGAACAGATGGGTAACTACTAGATGCACCTGAAGAACCACAACACAGTCATGGCTTGGCCTCAGTAGTTACCAGTAAGCTTCCATACGCCAATGAGCTAGAGAAAATGGAGGAGGAAGATGATCTGGGTTTGAGTCTAGGAAAGTCACAACCTCCATGGAAATCAGTTTCCTTATCGGCAAACCAAGGATAATAAAATTTAAGCCTCACAAAGGTGGCTAATGAGATGATGGAAGTGAGGCATTTTGTAAATAATCAAGCGATATACTGCTGCTATTGTCTTTAGTATACCACACATTATGTTTTAAATATATTTAACATAAAATACATTGTTTTACATAATTTCAAACAAAAACAGTTAACAATGAGTGACATGGAAAATAAAGTTAAACACCACTTCTGCTAGTCATTCTAATCATCTAAGTTTTGTATGCGGCAAAGTGAGAGCTCTGGACTCAGGGCATCCCTAACACTGTCACCAAAGCTTCTCTACAGCATGGGATCAGAACAACTCTTTCATCACTCTGCTGGATTTTGGAGGCCCAGATGAGAAACAGGAAGTAAAGAAAGACTAGAGATGCCGGCGCCGCAGCTCAATAGGCTAATCCTCCATTTGCGGCGCTGGCACACTGGGTTCTAGTCCCAGTCGGGGTGCCGGATTCTGTCCCGGTTGCTCCTCTTCCAGTCCAGCTCTCTGCTGTGGCCTGGGAGTGCAGTGGAGGATGGCCCAAGTGCTTGGGCCCTGCACCCACGTGGGAGACCGGGGGGAGGCACCTGGCTCCTGCCATCGGATCAGCGCGGTGCGCCGGCCACAGCACGCTAGCCACAGCAGCCATTGGGGGGTGAACCAATGGAAAGGGAGGACCTTTCTCTCTGTCTCTCTCTCTCACTGTCCACTCTGCCTGTCAAAAAAAAAAAAAAAAAAAGACTAGAGAGTAGACTAGAGAGTATAATATAAACTGTTCTTTTCTTTCACAATCTTTGAGGAACTCTTACCTTAAGATATCCTCCAGCAGAGACAAGCATTTTGCTATCTGGAGAAAAGCAAAGATCAGTCACCCAGCCTCCATGGGTGGCAGCTCCCTCTTCTACCGAAACGGGCGCAAACAGATGAAGCAGCTCTCCATTGGAGACATTCCATATCTGCAGCAAAATGACATAATTCATTAAGAAGGTTAGAAAGAAGCTTCCTAGTGTGAACTATATAAACATACCTACTGGGAAGTATTTAGAAATCTTTTTTTAAAAGATTTTTTACTTATTTATTTGACAGGCAGAGTTACAGACAGAGAGAGGGAGAGACAGAGAAAGGTCTTCCATCCATTGGTTCATTCCCCAAATGGCCCAACGGCTAGAGCTGGCCCGATCCAACAAAGTCAGGAGCCAGGAGCTTCTTCCATATTTCCCATGTGGGTGCAGGAACCCAAGCACCTAGGCCATCTTCTGCTGCTTTCCCAGGCCACAGCAGAGAGCTGGATCTGAAGAGGAGCAACTGGGACACTAACTGGAGCCCATATGGAATGCTGGCGCCTCAGGCAGAGGCTTAACCTACTGTGCCACGGCACTGGCCCCATAAATCTTTCTTAAAAAACAAAGAGGCACACTGGCCTTGTGGCATAGCAGGTAAAACTGCCACCTGTGACGCAATACCCCATAAGGGAGCCAGCTGGTATACCAGCTGCTCTTCTTCCCATCCAGCTCCCTGCTAATAGCTTGGGAAAGTGCAGAAGACAGCCAAGTGCTTGGGTCCCTGCACCCATGTGGGAAACCCAGATGAAACTCCTTGCTCCTGGTTTCATCCTGGCCCAGCCCTGGCCATTGTGGCCATTTGAAGAATCAGCAGATGGAAAATCTGTCTCTCCCTTTCTGTCTCTGTAACTCTGACTTTCAAATAAATAAATGTGTAAAAAATAAAACAAAAAAAAAATAGCTAGAGCGACTGATTAGAATACTTTTTACATTTACTCAGAATTATGGGAGAAGTAAGGAATAAATATAGAAGGCCTAAACAGGAACTATCACCAAAAGGGGCAGGGGTAGAGGAGTGGCACAAAGAATTCTAGTCCCAGGACTAACACCATGAATGCTGACAGAGTAAGGTTGTGTGTGTGTGTGTGTGTGTGTGTGAATGTGTGTTGTGTATGAAGATTATTTTATTAGACTTTAAAACAACCAAATAATTTACAGATACTAATATTTCCAGTGACACTTAATATGATCAGTGCTCTAAGAAATGCACATCATGGTAAAAAAAGAAAAGAAAAAGAAATAGAGGGACAGGCCTAACAGTGAAGAAATCCTGGAGAGCCTGGCTTGGACACCTGGCTCTAGTTACCGACTCCAGCTTTCTGCTAACATAAACAATGGGAAGCAGCAGTGATGGTTCAATTAATTTGTCGCCTCTCACTCACATGAGACCTGGACTGAGCCCCAGCTCCTAGCTTCAGTTGGGGAACAGCCCAACCACTGCAGACATCTGGAGAATGAACTACCAGACTCTCTCTCAAATAATTTTTTAAAAAATTTTAAAGAAAAAAAAAAGAGGCAAAAACAACGAAAGAAAATAATCAGAATCATCATTTCCAAATGTCTCCCTAGAAAATCCGAGAGAACCAAATGGGAAAAAAAAAAAAAAAACAACCCAGCTCATACACTGGTTGACAAAGCAGCCATCCCAGTGCCCAAACTTTTCCCACTCAACTTCCAACTCTCCCTCCTAACACCACAAAGTCCACTGCTTGCTTTTCCTTGATTTCTGAGCTTTCAGCATATAGTACTATCCGTATTGCAAGGTATTTCCAGACACAAAGACAACAGCATTCCATGCACTGAGGGTAACAAAGTGGACCCTATCTCAACAGAGCCCTTTTGTGTGGGAGGCTCTGTACTGTTTAATTAACAAAGGCAGACAGCCCAAAGAGGACCTCAACAAGTTACACTGTAAAGGGTGATTAATAGGTATAGTGTAAAGGAGATTTTTTTCTTTCAGCACTGAAAACAGCACAATCTACAATTCATTTAAAACCTAGACAATCATTTACAAAATTATGTTCCTCAAATTCTGCCACTAGAAACAACCTTTGGTTCAAGTCCAAGAATTAAGATGAATCATTCTCAAACTAACAGGAGACAATTCAACTGCAAGTAACTAGGGCATTTGCCTCCTCACACATACAGGAAATGCCTCAGTCTAACTGTAAAACAAAACCTTTCTGCAGTCACGTATGGCTGTGAACACAATGTGCATAAGAAAACAAGCACACCTCAAGTAACCAGAAGCCCAGGCTTGCCTGTCCCATGAACAAAGGTCCCCAGTGTGGTGAAGAGCATTTGTCCATGCTCCCAAAGCACAGTACTCTCATGTCAGCAAACCACCTACCCTGATCTCTCCGTTGTCATCTCCTGTCGCCAGCAGGGAACTGTCCACAGAAAAGGCAGAACAGCGGACGCAGCCATTGTGGCCCCTCAACTCATGAAGAGGGGAAAGGAGTTCAAAAGTCCAAATCTGGAAAGCAATTATGATTGTTTAGGAATGGAAAACACCCTCAAAATAAGCATCTGCAAACCCTGCCTTCAGTGCTACTTAGCCATGGAATCAATCACATGGAAGTTCTAACTCTGATTGTTCATACACTTTGATGAGATATCCAAATTCCAACTTGTAACCTTGTTAATTTTTCTAAGTTTCCCGTTAACTACTTAAGTTAATGCCTGAGAAAGCAGCGGAAGATGGCCCAAGTGTTTGGGGTCCTGCCACCCATGTGGGAGACTGTCGCTCCCCCTCTTCGTGGAGGAACGACACAGGACCCTGCGCTGTTCTTTTGTCTGCTTGGCCCTCCCCGGGTTTGCTGCTGGTTCTTTCCGGGTTGGCTACCAACCCTTCCACCTCCGTGGAAAGGCAGTTCCCCCTGCCACTTTCCCCACTTCCGCGGGGGAGCGGCACACCGCCGGCCGGCTCTCTTGGGGGATGCACAGGTGTTCCCCTTAGATGTTCCCCTTAGATGTTCCTCGTGCATGTTGTCTCTCTCCTCCTTTATAGTCCTCTTCCGCCAATCCCAACTCTGCTACCCACACGCCGAGTACGCTGCTCTCCTCCAATCAGGAGCAGGTCCTACAGTTTATTGGTTGAACTGGAGGCAGCTGTGTAGAAGCTGTTTCTCCCTTCTCAGTGTCATATTGTGGGAGAGCAGATGCATAGAATAAGTCTTAATTCCAGTAACTTAGTCTAGTCCGAGTTGCTCCCAGTTGCTCCCCACAGGAGACCTGGAAGAAACTACTGCCTCCTGGCTTCAGCCTATCCCAGCCCCAGCTGTTGCAGCCATTTGGGGAGTGAACCAGTGAATAGAAGACCTCTTTCTCTGTTTCTCCCTCTCTCTTTCTAACTCTGCCTTTCAAATAAATAAATAAATAAAATCTTTAAAAAGAAAAAAAAAAAAGAAGATTGATTCAAGGAGGCACAGGTCAAAGGAAGGATGGGAGGACAGTCCGCCAGTGAAGAAGGAAGAGAGTGTGGTCTTACGGGTGGAGACAAGAAGTCTCATTTAAGAGACACTGAGGAGTAATGAACACAGCATGAAAGACAGAATAATGTCCCTGACAACTGCAAGGTCTGTAGTTTGGAAAACTTGACAGATGGTGATGCCATTAACAAAGGTGGATAGGCCGGCGCTGCGGCTCACTAGGCTAATCCTCTGCCTTGCGGCGCCAGCATACCGGGTTCTATTCCCGGTTGGGGCGCTGGATTCTGTCCCAGTTGCCCCTCTTCCAGGCCAGCTCTCTGCTGTGGCCAGGGAGTGCAGTGGAGGATGGCCCAAGTGCTTGGGCCCTGCACCCCATGGAGGCTAATCCTCTGCCTTGCGGCGCCGGCACACCAGGTTCTAGTCCCGGTCAGGGCGCCAGATTCTGTCCCAGTTGCCCCTCTTCCAGGCCAGCTCTCTGCTGTGGCCAGGGAGTGCAGTGGAGGATGGCCCAAGTGCTTGGGCCCTGCACCCCATGGGAGACCAGGAAAAGTACCTGGCTCCTGCCATCGGATCGGCGCGGTGCGCAGGCCATAGCGCGCCAGCCGCAGTGGCCATTGGAGGGTGAACCAACGGCAAAGGAAGACCTTTCTCTCTGTCTCTCTCACTGTCCACTCTGCCTGTCAAAAAAAATAAAAAATAAATAAATAAAAACAAAAACAAAAAAACAAAGGTGGATAAAAAAGAAGAGAATGGAGTACTCAACGTTAACTAACCAGCACAGTCACTAGAATGTGATATTTATAAGCACCAACATACAACTGTATAGAAATTCCCTGTGGATGTTTAATTAATTACAAAATTTCTTCCAATGATTTTAATTATCTATAATATGCAGTAGAGACTCCATTTGATTAGTCATAGGCAAAAATTTAATCCATACAGAGAAATCAGAAATCCTCAATGTCATTCATTTAATCGATTTGACCCCAAATAAATGCCAATGAGCATCCACCAAATGCTCACAAAATATACAGACATGCAGAAACTGTTACTATTCTGTTTGGTACATTATTTGAATTCATAACATAAACAACACTAAGTTTCAGACATTTCAATTGACTGACCTACCTTTGCAGTCTTATCAGCTGAGGTAGATGAAAACTTGGTTGCATCAGGAGAAATATCACAAGAAAGTACAGTGGCCTGGTGACAGACAAAGTCTTTTTCTATTCTTCCAGTAATAATATTCCATACCTTAAAAAAAATTTAGAAGTTGACATTTTTTAATGTATTCTAGTGAAATGCACATTTTGAGATTCAATGCTTGTTTACAGCCCTTGTCTCTTCCATTGAAGAACAGTGTTTTGTTTCTTCATACTATTTATTGGACTCTTACTTAGTACAGGGTTAACTATATGATCATTAAGTAAACTGAAAATAGATCTTTGTAAAAATTAAGAGTAAGAATGGAAGAGGGAAGAGGAAAAAGGGTTGGAGCGTAGGCAGGAGGGAGGGTAAGGATGGGAAGTATTACTATGTTCCTAAATCTTTATATATGAAATTCATGTAACTTAGGTAAATTTTTTCTAAAATTCTGAAATAAAAAAGTTGACATTTTTAAGTATAGTTCATATAAAAGAGCATAATCAGTTATAAAACAAATCTGTAAAACAAGGGCTTTAGCACACTGGCTGTTTTGATCTCTTTAAGTATCCTTTTGTATAAATGCTCATAAACACAGAACAGTCATAGGAGACCACAGTAAACAGAAAACAGGCATGAAAAATTAAAAGATTTAAATCCAGGTAATCACTAACATCCATGTGCTTTTGGTTGCCACAATATAATTATTACAATATCAGAATACTTTTTAACAAAACAAATCTGAGCTTCAAATTACCTTAACTGTTCCATCAAATGACCAAGAAAGTAGTCTTGAATTTTTCAAGAGCCTAAAATCCGTCACAGTTTCCTGATGGGCTTGAAGGAAGACATATTCATCTGTCTGCCAATTCCATACCTGAATGTCAAAGAAATAAATCTGTTATAATCCTCCCCAAGTAACATTCCAATGGGAGGCTGGGAAAGTATGGACTGTCTCATCTGAGGTCTTTTATCCACATGGCATTTCAGAAAAAACAACGATGCATGACAAGGAAGTTTATGGTGTCCACAACTTATAAACAGAAAAGCTGGGGATAATTAACTTGACTAAAAGGGCAAAGTAAAATATTTTTCTTTCTAAATAAAATTTGTTTTTTCAATTGCTTAGAGAACAGTTAATTACCAGAAGATCGGGAAAGCAACAATATGCCCATGAGGTCACCATTTGATTAAATTTTCCAGAGAAAATTATCCAAATCCCAAATCACAGATTTCTGAACCTTCAAGCTGGATAAGTCTGCAGATTCTGGCTCCAACAAAGCCAGCCCTATCGCCTGGGAAGGTCAGCTGACCAAAGCAGTTTAAAATCAGGTCATTTCTACACTTCAGAGATCACAGATCTTAGCTACCCACTTAAAGCAGTCCTCAAAATGACAGGAGAGAGAGAGCATTCATTCTCATATGGAGCTTTAGGACACCAGTAGAGGCAGGAGATTGAAATAATGAGTAACTGGCACAAAATAGCACACAAGCATATCTGAGACACATGAGTGAACAGAAATCACTTCTATGCCAAGTCTATTTAAAGAATTTCTCTTAATTACTACATTAAAGCGTTTATAATTAGTCTTACTAATTCTTGACTTCAAATTAACTTATTTACCAAATATTTAGCACCAATATGTAAGACAAATATGGATCAAACAAAAATCTAGCATTAGAAACCCTAAGAATCTAGCAAAGAAAATGTCCTACCATTAAAAAATCTATAATTAGAAGATATTAATAACAGAGATAAAATTTTGGGGAAATCAAAAAAGCAATTCCTCAGGGAAGATTTGGTGGAGACGGCGCATTTAGAGTACCTGAGGAATGGGTTGGAAGTATGATTCATAAACCGAGAAGGGCAACTCAAACAAAGGTAATCAATGCTGGTGTCAAAGTACAAGATGGGAAAATGTGAAAAGACAATAGGCACCTAGCTCAGGGTTCAACCTAACTGAAGCACAGGATATGCAGAAGTAACAGTAGAGCAAAAAGGCTCGGAAGGTATTTAGAGAAACACCCCAAAGGGCCCAAAGGCAGTCTCCAAAAAAATAAAGACATAGAAAAGTGAGCCCCTAGCAAAGGTATGCCAATCAGTGATATTCTGGGTCTAGTTTCTGATTGGTGAAGATTAAACAGTAGAAACGTCTTTAAGCCTTTTCCTACTAGGCTCCTACAAAATTGTACAAGAATGACACCTTTTATTACCCTTTCTTTACTCTTTATCCAGTGCATTTAGCAGTCACTCTCTCCAACATGGCAAAGCTCTCAGATCTCTCCTTATCTTCTGAGTGCTCACTCACAGAGGCAGGACATCAGAAGCACACTAGCTTATATGCAAGCAAGGAGATTTTAGAAAATTGGAAGTGAGTAATTCTAAAGAGAATGTATTAGAATTTTGAGTATTTTAAAAACCCAATGATAAATGCTGAGGGAAGGAAGGGAAAGAGGCTTTTCTGGCTTCCCAAATCATACCAGAAAATCTGTGTGATTAAGCATAACACACCCTAGACCACTTCCACCAGGAACTTTCTAGCTCCCTTTTCCCATCTTCCAGGATTTACTGGGCTAGAGCATCAGTGGCTACTCTTGACAACCCTTCCTGGTTGACAGACATTGCCAACCCTAGCTGTGTTCAATTCAGTGTTCATTCTTACTGCTGTCCTACATACCAAGAAGCCAGCTTTTGTGAACAAATGTAACAAAGAATTTGACAATCAGTAAAGGATATTAAGAACGACCTTCACAGCTTTTGTTACAGAACTCAGAGGGCTTCCATAGCCTTGGAAACTCATGACTGGAGCATAGGGAGATTACTGATGCCATAGACAGGAGTGTCAATTGGTAAAGTCAACAACAGGAGTCACTGTGCACTTACTCCTCATGTAGGATCTCTGTCCTTAATGTGCTGTGCATTGAGATTTAATGCTATAACGAGTACTCAAATAATATATTTCACTTTGTGTTTCTATGGGGGTGCAAACTGTTGAAATCTTTACTTAATGCATACTAAACTGATCCTCTGTAAAAAAAAAAAAAAAAAAAAGAAAAGAAAAGAAAAGAAAAGAAAAGAAACTATCAACTCCCAACTTGACTCTCACTGGGATTAAACATGACAATAGGTCTGATCTGATTTCATCATCATTAAAAAAAATCATCTATTATTTTTCACTTTATGTTTCTGTGTGGGAGCAAACTGTTGAAATCCTTACTTAAGGTATACTAAGCTGATCTTCTGTATATTAAGATAATCGAAAATGAATCTTGATGTGAATGGAAGGGGAGAGGGAGTGGGAAAGGGGAGGGTTGTGGGTGGGAGGGACGGTATGGGGGGGAAGCCATAGTAATCCATTATTCGTACTTTGGAAACGTATATTCATTAAATAAAAGTTAAAAAAAAAAAAAAAAAAAAAGAACGACCTTCACAGCTTTTGTTACAGAAGCTTTCCAACAAGGCAACGAGAGTGATACTTTTGTTGTTGGCCTCAAATATACTGTGTTAATTGAATCACTTTCAGATAACAGCTAAACTTTCAACTGCATTCAACAAATACGAAGCTGAGTTTGGGAATACATTTACCTTTGTTTTGCAATATACATTGTTGCAATGATATATATATTCTGTACACATTTTTCAGTTATATAAAGAGGATTTAAATTTTTTAAAGAAATTTCTTAGGCCTGTAAGAATCAATAAAGCCTTATATATTGGCTCAGGTGAACATGACTAATACTTGCGCTTTATTTACTTAAAGGTAAAGGACCAAAAACTACAAAGGGAGACCTCAATTTTCATAACTCAAAGTGCTTTAACTTTGACAATACCTTCAGTTCAACAAAGATTTACTGAACATACAAGGCACTGAGGATACAAAATGATTAAAACAAATTTCCATTCAGTCATTTATTAAAAACATTAAAAGGGTCAGCATGGAGAGTAAAGCCACTGAATGTGATGCTGACATCCCATACAGTCACAAGTTCGTGTCTCAGCTGCTCCACTTCAGCTCCAGCTCCCTGCTAATGGCGTGGGAAAAGCAGCAGAGGATGGCTCAGATGTTTGACACCCTGCCACCTACATGGTAGACTCAGGTGAAGCTCCTGGCTTTAGCCAGGCTCAGCTCTGGCTGGTGTAGCCACTTGGGGAGTGAACCAGATGGAAGATCTGTCTCTCTGTCTCTTCTCCTCTCTCTGTAACTCTTTCAAATAAATAAATCTTTTTTTAAAAAAATTAAAAAACTGAAACAAAATCCAACCAGTTACTTATTGGATATATCATTCAAGAGTTGCATTATATCAATGTGTACTCATTAAAACATTGTAAATGTAAAAAATATTGAGCAGAACACAGAAAATAGAATGAAAAACAACTTAATTTATACTTTAAAAATGGATTTTTATTCAAAAATTATTTCTAGAAATTATTTCTCCCTCCATCTGAGAATATTTGAAATCTTCAAGCAGGTCATAAAATCTTATGAATTTAAGTTTTGACAGAAAGGCTATATGGGGGCCAGCACTGTGGCGCAGTGGGTTCTAGTCCTGGCTGCTCCTCTTCTGATCCAGCTCTCTGCTGTGGCCTGGGAAAGCAGAAAAAGATGACCCAGGTCCTTGGGCCCCTGCACCCACTTGGGAGACCCGGAGGAAGCTCCTGGCTCCTGGCTTCAGATCGGCTCAGCTCCAGTCATTGCAGCCATCTGTGGAGTGAACCAGAGGATGGAAGACCTCTCTCTCTGTCTCTACATCTCTCTGTAACTCTTTCAAATAAATAAAATAAATCTTAAAAAAAAAAAAAAAAGAAAGAAAGATTATATGGTATACAACATCTCAACAGAATTTCATCAGATACAGATTAGTCTCACCCATTTCAAAGACATCTGGATAGGAAGAAATGTGGCTATTACACTGAGTTTAATGAAGTACTATTATGGAAGCCCATAATTAATAAGTTCTGCACTGAAGGAAAATTTTTTTTTAAGATTTATTTATTTATTTTGAGAGACAGAGTTACACAGAGAGAGAATGAGAGGCAGAGAGAGAGTGTCTTCCATCCGCAGTTCACTCCCCAATTAGCCGCAACAGCCAGAGCTGTGCTGATATCCAAAGCTAGGGGACAGGAGCTTCTTCCGGGTCTCCCATGTGGGTGCAGGGGCCCAAAGACTTGGGCCATCTTCATCTGCCTTCCCAGGCCATAACAGAGAGCTGGATCAGAAGTGAAGGCGCCAAGACTTGAACCGACGCCCATATGGGATGCCAGCACTGTAGGCAGCAGCTTTATCCACTAGGCTACAACACTGGCCCTGCCAAATTTTATTCCAAACATATACCTTTCACAGGACCCACAAAGAGATAACATAAAGAGATATTTTTTTTCTAAAACAGTATGTAATAGCACAATTAATTATTGTCACTAGAAGAAAGATTTACACTAAATAAAAGAATATCCTAACATCTGTTGAAGATACACATTTATCTTCTTTTCTGAAACTACTAAAATGTCAAGTCAAGAGAATGGGAGAGGGTTATGGGGGGGAAAACTGCTATAATCCAAAAGTTGTAATTTTGAAATTTATATTTATTAAATAAAGTTTTTAAAAAAACATGGGAGAGGCCGGCACCGCGGCTCACTAGGCTAATCCTCTGCCTTGCGGTGCCGGCACACCGGGTTCTAGTCCCGGTCGGGGCGCCGGATTCTGTCCCAGTTGCCCCTCTTCCAGGCCAGCTCTCTGCTGTGGCCAGGGAGTGCAGTGGAGGATGGCCCAAGTGCTTGGGCCCTGCACCCCATGGGAGACCAGGATAAGTACCTGGCTCCTGCCATCGGATCAGCGCGGTGCGTCGGCCACAGCGGCCATTGGAGGATGAACCAATGGCAAAAAGGAAGACCTTTCTCTCTGTCTCTCTCTCTCACTGTCCACTCTGCCTGTCAAAAAAGGGAAAAACACATGGGAGAAGAGATAAGAAATGGGCAGGGAAAATGTTGGGAGCTAGGAAGCAGGAGAATGGTAACTGACTCACAGAACCAAGAAATCAGAATCTAAAAGTGTTAAAGAAAGTCAAAAGCAACAAAATTGAGAGTAAAAGTTCCCAAAACATTCATGACTTGGACATACTAGGAACATCCAGAGGTGAGACTGAAGGGGACCTAAGAACAGAAGTGTTAGGGGTTGTAGGAAAACAGCAGCAGTACAGGTACATTTCAATCTCCCTAGAGCTCTCCATTAAAAATAGACACAGCAACTAGAATAGCTAAACCAAAAGTTCACAAACATGTCCAACAAGATCATGTTAAGGGACAAAGTATTCCCATAAATCCCCGATACAAGTGGATGGGAACAGAAAACTGGTTAACAGCAAGTGTTTGGTAAGAAGCAGAGAATCCCCAAACAGCCCACTGGCATTCACTGGACAGTGCAGTGGACCAACTAGAAAAGAACAGCAGAAATTGAGTGCCAGAAGACTGTTGCACAATCCAGAGGGCTCTGTAAATTATCAGAATTAACTAAGAGAATTCATTGTACAATGAGAAGAAATCAGTGAGAATAGCATCTAAATGTAAACCAGCAACGATGGCAACAAAGGAAAGAGAAGATCCAATAAATGATGGTGCAGATACCTCACCAAACAAGATGGTGTTTCTAATGCTTTATAAAAACAGTAAGAGAAGGAGCTATGGAGCTGTGAAGCTAGAAATGACGGACATCCTCACTCCTGCAAAGAGCTCAGGAAAACTGATTGCATGTTATTTAAAAAAAAAAAAAAAACACAGAAAGAAAAGAATCATAAAATCATTGCAAAATCCCTAAGTTAACTATGAGAAAATGAAAAAGGAATAAAGTACAGAACAATGCTCCTACAAACAGGGAAAGCCAACAGCAGAATTTCTGGATTAAAGAGCACCAAAACAATTTACAGTAAAATTACAGTTTTGGGAACAGGAGATCAAGTGAAGATTTACATCTTAAATGTTGAGATCCAACCTCTACTCCCAGTTCTCTTCCCTCTCTGAACTCTGAGAATCTGTCAGACAGATTTATCCTCCAGACAGGAGACAAGATTCTTCTCTAGGTAACTCATAGAGGTATTCTTATCTCAAACAAATTGACCCAAAGTTACACAGAATGGCTCTTTACCCAGATCACCTCTCAGAGAAGGTCTCCATCAATATACAGGATTTTTTTGTTTGTTTATTTGTTTTTAATCTGACAGAGTTAGACACTGAGAGAGAGACAGAGAGAAAGGTCTTCTTTCCATTGGTTCACCCCCCAAATGGCCGCTACAGGCAGAGCTACGCCGATCTGAAGCCGGAGTCAGGTGCTTCTTCCTGGTCTCCCTCACGGGCGCAGGGGCCCAAGCACTTGGGCCATCCTCCACTGCCCTCCAGGGCCACAGCAGAGAGCTGGACTGGAAGAGGAGCTAGAACCCGGTGCCCATATGGGATGCCGGCGCCACAGGCGGAGGATTAGCCAAGTGAGCCACGGCACCGGCCCCCAACACACAGGGTTTTCAATCAATCTTTTGATAACCAGGTCTGAAGTCAATGATCACTACACAGCTAAGGAGGCCCTTAAAATAAAAGGCCAAGGGCTGGCATTGTGGCACTGTGGCATGGTGGGTAAAGTTGCCACCTGCCATATAAGAGCTAGTTCATGTCCCCACTGCTCCACTCTCAATCCAGCTCCCTACTGATGGCCTGGGAAAAGCAGTAGATGGCCTAAATGCTTGGGCCCCTGCCATCCACACAGGAGACCCGGAAGAAGCTCCCGACTCCTGGCTTCAGCCCAGCCATGCAGCCATCCAGGGAGTGAACCAGCAGATGGAAGATTTCTCTCTCTGTCTCTACCTCTCTCTGTAACTCTCAAATAAATAAAATAAATCTTAAAAAAAAAGCAGTAAATAATTTTTAAAGAATATATGATAAAGCCTTAGATTCCATATCCATAAACCTTAATTATGGCAAACTATTCTCTTTTTCATACTATGATAAACATTTCATTCCTATGATAAACATTTTATTCTTAAAAAGAAAAAATAGGGCGGCGCTGTGGCACAGTGGATTAACGCCCTAGCCTGAAGTGCCGGCATCCCATATGGGTGTGAGTTGTAGTCCCGGCTGCTCCTCTTCCAATCCAGCTCTCTGCTATGGCCTGGGAAAGCAGTGGAAGATGGCCCAGGTCCTTGGGCCCCTGCATCTGTGTGGGAGACCAGGAAGAAGCTGCTGTCTCCTGGCTTCAGCCATTGTGGCCATCTGGGGAGTGAACAAATGGATGGACGACCTCTCTCTCTGTCGCCACCTATCTTTGTAACTCTTTCAAAGAAATAAAATAAATCTTTAAAAAAATAAATAAATAAAAATAAAATAAAATTACTCAAGCAGATTTTCTGTTATAAAGAAAAATAGAGAGAAATTATATAAATGTGACCAAAAGATCACCTGTTAACACAAATCTAAATACTCAGGCATTCAAATGAATGCCTTGATTTTCAAAATAAACAGCTTTCCTATAGAGGGTTTTAAGTCAGAGTACCTGCCTCACCCACAGAAAAACACAAAACACAAACAAATTTCATCTAAGCCCATATGCATAATCTGAATGTATGCCCAAGGTAATATATTTAAAATGCACACCAGATTTAAGGTACAATCAGAGTGTTTCTCTGCTATGGTCAGCATGACGTATATCAGGAGGCTATCTTCCCTCTCACCTGAATTGCAGAATCATCAGAACTTGAAATCAGAGTCTTCCCATCAGCTGTGAACTGAATATGCCGTACAGTTTTCTTGTGCCCAATCCTGGACTGGAAGATTCTGCTGTTTAGAAGTTCTAAAATCTTCACAAAGTAAGAAAACCACCGAAAATTAATACAAAGAAATTAAGCAATTATACCCCAGAGATATTAAACTAAAATTAGAGCACAGAAGGCTTTACAGTTTCCAATGCATGGTGCTTTCAGCTTAACTAAAAGCACACTAATGAATAACACACGCACACACACACACGTACACATACACACTAACATAAAGCACTCACTAGAATGACTAGAGGCAGTAGGAACCAGTAGTCCTTCTGAGTACTCAACTACCCAATTCCTCAAGTAAGTGGCAGTCTGGGCTCAGCTTCCAAAAAGAAAATGACATTTAAAATGGATGAGAAAGGAAAAAGGAAAAGATCTTGGCTGAGACAAGCCAAGCTCTTCGTGAAGCAATTGAGACAAGGAAAGACAAAGGATGACAAGGCAGGCAGGTAGAGGAAAAGACATGAGAAGGCCAGGGCAGTTCAATGAGAAGTCTGACAAGGGCTAAAAACTAGTACACGTTTGCCAAGTGTAGAGACTAAGAAAGTAGTGACAGAAACTCAAAAAATAATGACTTACATCAAAAAGACTATCATAGTGCACCCTCTCTAAAAAAAATAGTAAATGTGGTTGCTTTCCCCAAATTATAATATACTCAAGGAAATACAGATTATGCTAAAATGGGGTTCAGAAATTCAAACCTAGACCACTTCTGAAAGTCTCCTCAGAAAAGAGGAATCTTATGAATGAGGCTTTCCTAGATGTGCAGAGTGGACAGCCTCACAATTCCTATGAGGAGACTGTAAGACTTGAAGCCTAGCTCTGCCACTTACTGATTTTATGAAAGTTGTGGAAGTTAAAGAGTCCAGACAGTGTCAAACAGGAATAATAAATACCTAACATCCAGGATGTTAAAATTCAGTGTAAGGATCATGTTCAATAAACACCTAATAACAGGTGCCATTATTATTTTCTTATTATACTTGGCTGAATCATAAGAAATTTCCATTTTATAAGCTGAAAGCAGTCAATTCTTAGTGATTTCACATGGTTCATTATATTTTATTTATATTATTTGAAAAGTTAAGGATGTGGATGGAGCACAGGTGTGTTTTGTGAGTTGTTTCTAAAAACTAAGCTTTTTTTTTAAAGATATTTATGGTAAAACAAAAAGAATATGGTACTAACTTGGCAACAAGGCCCTTTAAGAATAAATAATATACAACAGCTTAAGAAAAGAAACTGAAAGGAAAACACTAAGGTTCAGTTGTACAATAATCCTTTGCTTAACAAACACCCATAATACACTTTTCTCTGCCCATCTTAACAAATTTTTCACAATAATGAACAAAAAAATGGGAGCAGTCATTTGACCTAGCAATTAAGTCACCTGTTAGGATGTCTGCATCCTGTATCACAGTGCTTGGGTTCGAGTTCCCTGTTTAAACTTACTGCTAAAACATACCCTGAGAGGCAGCAGGTGCAGTTTCAAATGACTAGGTCCCCGCCACTCACATGGGAAACGTGAATGGAGTTCCCAGCCCCAAGCTTCAACCTGGCCCAGCCCCAGCCCTTATGGGCATTTGAGCAGTGATCCAGGGGATAGCAACTCTGTCACTGTCTCTCTCTCTCTCTGCCTCTAAAATAAATGATATTTTAAATAAAAATAATGAAGAAAAACAAAACCTTTACTCTGAATCCATGCTACAATGGCCACAGCAAATATATTAAGATCACTTTTCAAAATGTTTGTCTCTACTCTGTGTATAAGTACACAGCCTCCTCTCTGTGAGGCAATATGGACTACAGAATATTTTCGTAACTCATTATGAAAATGAATCCGGGGGCATAGCAGGTTAAAGCCCTGGCCTGAAGCGCTGACACCCCATATGGGCACCGGTTCTAGCCCCGGCTGCTCCTCTTCTGATCCAGCTCTCTGCTATGGCCTGGGAAAACAGTGGAAGATGGCCCAAGTCTTTGGGCTCCTGCACCCATGTGGGGAGACCCTGAAGAAGCTCCTGGCTCCTGGCTTCGGATCAGCGTGGCTCCAGCCATTGTAGCCATCTGGGGATGAACCAGTGGATGGAAGACCTCTCTCTCTGTCTCTGCCTCTCTCTGTACCTCTTTCAAATAAATAAAATAAATCTTAAAAAAAAAAAAAGAAAATGAATCCAAAGTAAAATAAATATAGCTAGTGCCAAAATTAATAAAGAAATAATTCCCAAAAGCCTATGTGAGAAAAAGTGAAAGTAGGAACTATGTTCTTTGAAAGACTATCATATAGAGAAAAATCTGTTTTAATGATGAATTTTATTTGTGATAAAAATAGCACTTTTATCCAGGATGGCTTTTATTATACTTCCTTTTTATGTCTTACACCTGATTCCACTTTTACTTATTTAGTCTTGTTAGATAAGTTAAGGAATTGAGGTGGTTAACAGGTGTACTTTTTTTTAATACTCTTTTTATTTTTTTATAAAGGTCTTCCATCCGCTGGTTTACTCCCCAAATGGCTGCAATGACCGGAGCTAAGCTGATCCAAAGCTAGGAGCCAGGAATTTCTTCCAGGTCTCCCACATGGCTGCAGGGGCCCAAGCACTTGGGTCATTTTCTATTGTTTTCCCAGGTGACAGCAGAGAGTTGGATTGGAAGAGGAGCAGCTGGGACACACAAACTGGATCCCATATGGGATGCTGGCGCTGCGGGTAGAGGCTCAGCTTACTACACCACAGGGCCAGCCCCGAGTAGGTGTACTTCTAACACCAAAAGTAGAACAGCAAGGACTGGTGGACAAGCACTGATATTCTCAGTGAGCCCTGTCAGTACTAAAATGGAAACAACTTGCAAAATGCTCTTTGCATTGATCACTGACAGACACTGTTTGATATACATCGAGAATAGGATAACAACTAGGTAGAGAATAAAAAACAAACAAAAAAGAAGCCACAAAGACAAAAAGCATGATAAACAGCAGTAAAGGCAATCTGAAAAATACCAGATGGATAGAAAGATTTGTTTAGTATATAAGTACACAATGCCAGCCATTTGTAATTAATTTTAAATAAATAACTGTACTGCACAGTAAGACCGGAGACTAGTTTTGAATACCTCAATGGTTCCATCTTCATCTCCAAATGCAATGTACTGAAGATGCGGACTTAAGCAACAGCAGCTAACTTGAGCTTCAGTCAGGTAATCAATCTGACCTGTTTTTCCATTAATGAGCTAATGAAAAATAAGGCACAATCAGTTATTACACTGTAAGAGCAGTTTTTGTTCTTCAAAACAAAGGCTTCAATGGGAAAAGTAAAATAAACCACAGAAAATCACCAACATAGCTCCCAGGGGAGCAACAAAAGCCCTAGCCTAGTCTCGGCAGCTGCATTTAGCACTTCATGCTTTCATTTCATTTCACTTTTGTGATTCAAATGCATTTTCATAAAATAAAACAAGCTGTAAAAGGTCTAAAAAGCAGCTGCTGTGCCCACCACCTGAGACACATCTGCCTGATTCATAATCCCACAGCTAGCTCCACACCCTGTTTTCCACTTCATCACAAAGCCCATTTTCAATAGGGCTATCATTTGTTAAAATATACTCTTCTGGAATCTTTCAAGAGGGTTGGTAAAACAGGAATGCGGCAGACATTACATAAAAAGATAAATGCAAATAAAAATGTGGTGTCTAACCTCCAAATTACTAACAAAACAGCATACATTAAAATTATTTTCTGTTGGGAGGGGGTACTGGAAAAGAAACCAAAAGCATCATTTTTAAAATTTTATTTATTTATTTGAGTGACAAAAAGACAGAAATAGCTCTCATCCTCTGGTTCACACTCTAAATGCCCACACTAACCCAGGATTGGGCTAATGCCAAGGCCAAAACCAGAAGCTGGTAATTCAATCCAGGTCTCCCACATAGGAGACAGGCTCCCAATTATCTGAGCCACCATGGCTGCCAACTGGGGTCCACATAAACAGGAAGCTGCAATCAGAAGCCAGATACACCACTGAATGCAGACATATTGATGAGGAACACAGGGGTCGTAACCGCTATCTCAACCGCTAGGCCAAATACCTACCCTCAAAAGTACAGTGTGTGTGGCTAGATCTGTAATCCTTAAACCAAGATTACTCAATTTCATAATCTGTGCCATTGAGAATTTGTTTTAATCCTACAAATAGGCACGTCTATCACTCAACCAAAATACATGACCTGGAAAATATTTTTCAATCTGAAATCAATTATCAGATACCCCCTGGTGTCACAACCCAAAGCTGAGGATGTTCCTTCTCTCAAGAATCAATTTCAAGAACTCTTTTAAGACCTTAAAAAATAATAAGGGCTGCTGCTGAGTTGCAGCAAGTTAAGCCATCACCTGGAGGCCTGGGACACTGGCATCCATATCAGAGCAACGTTTGACATCCCAACTACTCTGCTTATGTGCTTGGGAAAGCAGTGGAAGATGGCTCTTGTAGGAGACCCACATGGAGCTCCAGGCTCCTAGCTTCTGTCTGGCCCGTGTCAGCTGTTGTTACTATTTGGGGATTGAACCAGCAGATGGAAGATCTATCTCTGTCAAATAAATAAAATAAATCTTAAGAAAAATAAAAAAGATGGCTTAGAGCTAAAAAAAATTGTTTTGTTCACTTAAATAGTTTAGCTATCTTCTAAACTCTCTCTTAATCACTGATGTAAAATACTTTTATAGTTAGGTGGCTTCTAAGTCTCCCAGTTATGACAACTGTTAAAGAAAGGCTGTGGGGTCGACGCTGTGGCATAGTAGGCTAACTCTCTGCCTGCGGCACGGGCAGCCTGTATGGCCACCGGTTCATGTCCTGGCTGTTCCTCTTCCGATCCAGCTCTATGCTTATGGCCTGGGAAAGTAGTGGAAGATGGCCCAAGTGCCTGGGTCCCTGCACCCACGTGGGAGACCTTGAAGAAGCTCTAGGATTCTGGCTTCAGATCAGCCCAGCTCCAGTCATTGCAGCCATTTAGGGAGTGAACCAGCAGATAGAAGACTTTTGTTTCTGTCATCTCTCTCTCACTCTGTAACTCTGCCTTTCAAATAAACAAATAAGTCTTTAAAAGAAAAAAAGTGCATGAAATTAATAAAGGAAACACAAGTATGAGGGCACTGACCTTGACAAGAACACTACAATGAAAAATACCCCAAGTGGAAGAATTAACTGTTAAACCCAGTTAATGAGGAATTCACATCCAGTTCCACATCCTAATTCATGCCAGAAATACAGGGCATCGAGAGCCCCTAATCAACACTAAATGTACAGCACAGCTTGTACAATATAGAACACTCCATTCTTAGGGATGTCTCCTAGCCTGACTCTCGCACAGCACATGAGGACAAGCTATGCCATGCCGTACACAATTTACAACCAGGGCTCTGTCTCCTGAATTTGTCTTCTACTTCGACTATATAACTAAGTCATAGACTGCTGAAGATGAAAAGGCCCTCCCAGGTGAAGAAAGTGAGACTCAGAGAAGTGATGCAATTCACGCAGCATCAGAGAACTAGTTGATGATGAAATGTGAACTTGCACTTGGGTCTCATGAGTGAAGTCACCGTTCTCTCCACTACACCAAGCTGAGCTCTTCAGTTTTAGAACTTGTTAAACTCTTTCCTAGCCTCTGTCAGTGTGTCTCAAGCTCCTGTCATGTCTCATGCCTTCCATGTCCATGCTTTCTCTCTCCTCTCTACCTCAACTACACTATCTTCTCTCATTCTCACACACACATTCTTGCTTCCTACCTTTGATAAATCAAGAAAAAGCAAATGCAAAGAGATGGCATAAGATCACATTATCACTGCTTAACTCCTTTCCCTGGAAGTTAAAAAGACATTTCTATAGCCCACCTGGAAAAAAGGTTCTCAACTTGTATAATGTGCTCTAAGAGCTAATGAAGGGACCTAAAATAACATACCACAGTGAATAGTTCATAGGATCATTAGCCCTCACCTGTGACAGGTTTCTGTCCTTCCCAATCCTATACTTCTCAGTCCTCAGAAAGGAGGAATGCCTCACTGTTCACATAAAAACCATGCCTTGCCCCTCTTCTCTACGGCAGCTCTTAACACCTCTCTCAGCCACAAGTCACTCCACTCCACTCCACAGGCTGACAACTCCTACAATGCTACACTACTCAGTTGTTCTACTTGGGCTGGCCAACAAGAAGAGTCTCTCGTGTCTGACCTTCCATAAGGTATATACTTACTCCTGCTGCCACTATCTGCAGTGCCACCATCACTTCCAGGACTTCTATGTCAATGCAGTGCAACCTGCTCTGGGCTTATGGATAGATGACATTTTACTTGAGTCACCAATACAACAGTGCTAACCTGATACTGAACACCAATGCTCTGCAGGACACCTGTTCTCTCTTACTATTGCTCAAAGTTACTTAATAGCATTTTCTAACAACAGATCTCTGGGGCTCTTTCTCTTCAGTTGGTCATGATATACTTCCAAGGAAGGGAGAAAGAAGGAGGGTGGGAGGCAGAAGAGAAGAGGGAGGGAGAGAATATCATTATGCTCTTAGAAGCTCTTAGAATTGTGTCTACAAAGCACACTGAATCTATTAAAAACTAATTAAGAATTAAAATTTAGAAATTAAAACAACCAAAAAAAGAAAAAACAAAAACAAAGATATACTTCCACTTATGTGTCCTACTATGTTAGAGGGCAGGGGGAGAGCAGTCTGAGTAGTGCTGTTTGGATTCCTAAGCAATATAGTTCTTCCAATTTTATTACACAACCCTTTCCTTCTCAAACTAAGAATCATTCAATAAATACTTATATAAATGAATGAACAGGTACATGTCATCATGTATGTAAACTTCTGCTCTTACCACCTAAGTCTTTTGAGTCAGATTCCTTCACTTAAAGTGACATCTGTTGTTTCAAAGACTCCATCAAGGCAGAGGTGTGGGTTAATCCACCTTTTGGGAAGCCTACATCCCATAACAGTGCTGGGATCGGGTCCCACCTCTGATTCCAATCCAGCTTCCTGCTAATGCACACCTTGAGAGGCAGAGATGCTGGAGCAAGTACTTGGGTTCCCGGCAACCCATGTAGAAGAAGACCCAGACTGAATTCCTGCTCTTGGCTTTGACCTGGCTTAACCCTGGCCATTGTAGGCATTTGGGAAGTGAACCAGTGGATGAACGATACCTTCCCACTCCTACCCCATGCCATCATTCCACCTTTCAAGTAAATAAAGGTAAATAAACAAACATTTTTTTTAAAATCATGTCTGGACAAGTTATGTGTTTAAAAACATCCAAAAAATATATATATAAAGACCCTATTACCCTTCCCCTACAAAAATACTTCCATTTGGGCTAAAATCCTGTCTGGACAAGTTATGTGTTTAAAAACATTTAAAAAAAAGGACCCTATTACTCTTCCCCTGCAAAAATACTTCCATTTGGGCTAGTGTTGTGGCACAGAGGGTTAAGTCGCCACTTAACAATACTGGCATCCTATACAGGAACACTGGTTCAAGTCACGGCTTCTCTGCTTCTGATCCAAATCCCTATGATTGCACCTGGAAAAGCAGCAGAAGAAAAGATGGCTGAAGGGACCTGTGTCCATGCTACTACACAGGAGACCCAAATGAAGTTTCTGCCTCCAGGCTTCAGCCTCTTCCAATCCCAGGCTTTGTGCCATTTGGGAAGTGAACCAGAAGATGGAAGATCTTTCTCTTTCTGTCTTTCCCTATCTTTCTCTCTCCCTCTCTGTCACTCTGTCTTGCAAATAAATAAAAGTGAATCTTTAAGAAAAAATGCTGGGCTGGTGCTGTGGTACAGCAGGTTAAGCTGTGACCTGAAGTGCCGGCATCCCATATGGGCACTGGTTCAAGTCTTGGCTGTTCCACTTCTGATCCCTGTTAATGGACCTCAAAAAGCAGCAGCAGATGGCTCAAGTCCCTGGGCCCCTGCACCCATGTGGGAGACCAGAAAGAAGCTCCTGGTTTCTGGCTTCAGTCTGACACAGCTCTGGCTGTTGGGGCCATTTGGGAGTGAACAACTAGATAGATCTCTCTCTCTGTCTCCCCACTCTCTCTCTGTAACTCTACCTTTCAAATAAATAAATAAATCTTTAAAAAAAAAAAAAAGAAAAATACTTCCATTAGTATGCTCATCTTATTTGCAGATTCCACCAGATATGCCTGAATCACTACTGCAAACAAGCTCAAGTTTGTCCTCATGGTATTTCTAGACATCTTGCAAATCAAGGAATGTGATCATATATTTGTCTTTAAAGGGCACCATTTTTCTTTAGTGATTTATGTAAAAAAGACTGTTGACATAGTTAAATTCCCAATACTCTGAGTTGTTTAGAAATGGATGAAATGGCTGCCATCATCACTTACAAAACTGTCTTGAACTGGATGGAGCTTATGTTCAGAAACAAAATTTATATTTTTATCTTTTAATTCCACTTTTCCACAAACTTTTTGAAGTTCCTTTTTATACTCACATGCGAAAGGAGTTACTGCCTAATTTAATTCTAAATATTGGCATATCTGAACTTCAGCTCAAAACCTAGATATTTATTCAACTAATGCTTGCTGGGCACTTGTTAGTATTGTGCATAATCCCATGGCTTAAAAAAAGGAAATAAGAAAAATTGTGGGGGCCAGCACTGTGGCGTAATGGGTGAAGCTGCCACCTGCAGTGCCAGCATCCTATATGGGCGCCGGTTCAAGTCCCGGCTCCTCCACTTCCAATCCAGCTCTCTGCTATGGCCTGGGAAAGAAGTGGAGGATGTCCCAAGCCTTTGGGCCTCTGCATCCATGTGGGAGACCCAGAGGAAGCTTCTGGCTCCTGGCTTTGGATCAGCACAGCTCCGGTCATTGTGGCCAATTAGGGAGCGAACCAACGGATGGAAGACCTCTCTCTCTGCCTCCTCTTCTCTCTCTGTGTAACTCTGACTTTCAAATGAATAAATCTTTTTAAAAAATTGTGAATTATGAATTCAACTAAAACAATGTTTTCAATTATTTGCTTAAAAATACTCACTTGTAGACATCTTACATCATCAACCGCAAGGACCATCACTTCATTTTCTTGAAAAACAACATCGACTTCTTGTTTTAACACTATTGCAGAGTTCTTACATACCTTCTTAGTCTCCCAGACCTGATTAAGAGATAAAGAAACTAAAATAAGATAACCATCTGTTATCAGCCCATCCTCTGAGATAATGTAAAGATATATCAATATCTTAAAGCAAGATACATACTATGCTTCACAAGTAAAATACCTATGATGATAGAAAATTTTCAATTATATTATATTCAAAAGAGTAAATATTTATTATTCATTATACATTCTACAATAAGAAGTGGTTAATATTAATAGTTATGGGCTTGGGGCCAGCTCTGCTATGGAAGGTTAAGCCTCTGTCTGCAGTGCCAGCATCCCATATGAACACTGGTTCAAGTTCCGGCAGCTCCACTTCCAACCCAGCTCCCTGCTAATGTAACTGAGAAAGCAGCGGAAGATGGCCCAAGTATTCAGGCCCCTACACCCATGTGGGAGACTGGAAGAAGTTCCTGGCTCTTGGCTTCAGGCTGGCACAGCCTCGGCCACAGCAGCCATTTGGGGGGTGAACCAGCAGATGGGAAGATATCTAGGTATCTTTCTCTCTCTCTCTTTCTCCCCACTCCAACCTCTTTCTTTCTGCCTCTCAAATAAATCGATCTTTTTAAAAAAAGGGGGGGTGGAGGGTATGGGTCCAGGGCCAGTACTGTGGCATAGCAAATAAAGCCACTGCCTATTCTGTGTCAGTGGCGGTTCATGTCCTGGCTGATTTACTTCCAATCCAGCTCCCTACTAAGGGCCTGGGAAGCGCGGTAGAAGATGGCCCATGAGCTTGAACCCTGTCACCCACATGGGAGACCTGGAAGAAGCTCCTGGCTCCTGACTTCAGCCTGGGTCTTCACTGGCTGTTGCAGCCACTCGGTGAGTGAAGCAACAGACAGAAGACTTCTCTCTGTGTAGCTCTGACTCTCAAATAAACAAATCTTTAAAAAAAAAAAAAAAAGGCAGCAGCAGCAGCTATGGGCTCAAGGGTAGGTATTCAGTCCTAAGGTTAAAGGTGCTAACTAAGACCCCTGCATCCTGCATCAGAGTCTCTGGGGTCAAGACCTAACTCCAGATCCTTCCAGCTTCTTGCTAACATAGACGGTAGGAGTCAGTGGATGATGGCTCAAATGAATGGGTCCTTGCCATCCACATGGGAGACCTGCATTGTGTTCCTGCTATCAACTTCAGCTGGCTGCTGCACACATTTGAGGAGTGAAGCAGCAGATAGGACTGCTCTCTTTCCCTCTGTCTCTGAGTCTTGCCCTCTGTTTCACTCTCTAACTCTCCTTGTCTCTCTGCCTCTCAGATAAATAAACTTAATTAAAAAGGAAAAAAAAGAGTTTTGGGCTCTGGAGTCAAAATGTCTCAGAATGAATCCTAGCTCTACCTAAAATTGTAACTTTGGGCAGGCTACTTAGTCCGGAGCTGCTTCTCAAACTGTATGACACCCATCTACAAGATGAAAAGCTTACACCAGAAGATAAATCAAGTCTATCACTAAACATGCCATAACAGCATGCTTAGTGATACAGTTTGTTCTTTTTTAAATAACATTTTTTGTTGTGTATTCACTCACACTCCTTGAAACTGACACATTAAATATCACTGATTCTTCTGAACCTAATTTTTTTGTGCCTGTTTCATTAGTGGTAACAAAGATTGCTGTAACATTTAGTAAATTAATACATACTCATACAAAGTACTTGTACAATATCTGGTTTATAGCAAATATTAAATAAATTTTAGCTGCAATTTGTATAAAACATTATATAGGGACCAACCTGGATGAATGAACTCTTCACTTATAACCCAACATGTATAAATAAGGGAACCAGTGCAGTGTTGGAAGTAAGAAGTAAAGAAAATCTGCACTCTACTTCAAGTCAGAATGTGATACACACCATTGGAAATTGACACAGAAGTATACAGCATTAAAGAATACAGACATTCCTCTGAATGGGGAATTCAAGAAAGGGAATTATAGAATGGTTAGGACTTCAACAAAGAGAGATAGAGGAAAGTAGAGTTTGCCAAACATAAGAAATCACTCAAGCAAAAGCACTGAAACAGGGAACTACTGAGTCAAAAATGCAAGCAAGTCCAGTTTAAGTTACCTGTAGGAATAAACTGGAAGAATGGAGCAAAATAGGCCATACTGTGGAGAAGCTTAATAGTAGACCTATAGGGGCTGGCACTGTGGCACAGAGGGTTAAATCCCTGGCCTGAAGCGCTGGCATCCCATATGGGCACCGGTTTAAGACCTGGCTGCTCCACTTCCAATCCAGCTCTCTGTTGTGGCCTAGGAAAGCAGTAGAGGATGGGCCAAGTCCTTGGGCCCCTGCACCCGCGTGGGAGACCCAGAGAAAGCTCCTGACTCCTGGCTCCTGGCTTCGGATCAGCGCAGCTCTGGCCGTTGCAGCCAGCTGGGGAGTGAACCAGCGATGGAAGATCTCTCTCTCTCTGCCTTTCCTTCTCTCTCTGTGTAACTCTGACTTTCAAGTAAATAAATAAATCTTTAAAAAAAAAAAAAAAAGTAAACCTAGAAGGATATTTCATATGCTTACTTTGACAGACAATGGAGACACCATTTTGGACAAACATGGAATGACTGTATTGTACACAACGAAAATAGCTTAAAAACAGCATGGTGAAAAGAAAGGTTTCCAGAAGAGACTAATACAACACGAAAAGTTACAGGTTATGAAGACCTGAACATGGTCAGTAAGAATGAAAAAACAGTAGAAAACAAAAGGGCAGAATCTGAAAATCAGCAAGTGATCAGATGTAGGAATTCAGGTAGAGGAACAGTCAAAGAGTATTCTGAGGAATCAAATGTAATATATTTAAATTAACCAAAATACAGTTTATTCTTTGGACTTCTCATAGCTCCTGGTCCAAGGTAATAACGACATGTGCTGAAGGAATGAGACTCTTACAGTCCACATAATAGTACTTAACAGGCTGAATATGAATCTAGTAATTTCCTGTCTTACTTTCCCCAATACTGTCCATCAATTTTTTAGTTTGTAAGCTATTTAGTTCAGCATCAATACATGTTTAAAATAACAATCTCAGTATTTCTCACCCTGATAGTCTGGTCATCAGAAGATGTCAAAAATGATGATCCATCAGGAGAAAACATCACACCATGAACCCAACTTAAATGTCCTCGGCAATCAGCTACCTTTAAACGTGAGTCCATATTCCACAACTACAGAATAAACACAGCATATACGAAATCACATTCATAAGTTTCAAATGTACCAGTAACAGTGAAAATAGCAATATTACTTCTATGAATTTAGCCTAAAACCAATAATCAAAAATACAAAATCTTTTATACAAAAGACTATTCATTGCATCTTTATTTTTAATAACAACAACAACAAAAAAAACCCTGGAGACAACCCACTGGCCAAAACTATGGAACCAAACGAATAAACTGCAGTAATCCCATAATGAAATGTTATACAGCCATCAATGGAATGAGAAAAACATCCTGAAATGACTATATCTTTTTTCTGTTTTTTATTTAAATTTTTTATTCATATAAATGGGACAAATTTCATGTACCTCCTAATAGTTTTAAATACATAATGACACTTCCCAACTCATCCTCCCTCCCATCCTTCCTCCTGCTTCCACTCTTATTTTTCTTTTAATTTTTGCAACATGC